TTGTTTCTTTATTTTTTATGAAATTTAGTTTTCTAATTCTGATTTTATATTCTGATCGCACTTCCCATTCAATTCAATCATTCTCTATTTTGTAAATAATTATCGTTCCTACCATACTGAACATAGTTTCCTGTAAGGTGAATTGTATTCACATGTTGCTATGTAATTATCATCTTTTACCATGGTAGAGAATTGGGCCTTCAAATTCTTTTCTGTGTGCACATTACATGTACTTTTGCATTCATCTTCTAGAACTTGCCCTGTTTCTTAATTAAATATGCATTGTACAATTTTTCATCTAGATGATTGAGGCCTTCTTTGCACATACCCACCCTAGAACACCCTTCCACCAAATTTCCCTTGTTCTACACTCCTTTCTTTTGCTAAAATTAGCCTGCAAATATAGTTTCCTTCCCTTAAGAGAGGTATTTCTTTTGAGCTGTGTCAAGAATGATTGCAAGAAACTAAGTTTGGGGGTGCTAATTGTGCTTGTAGTTGCTTGAGGACAAGCAAGATCTTAAGTTTGGGGTGGTGAGCATTATACATGTCCATATTACATGTAAAAAAAATGATTGAATTTGAAGAAAAGAATGATTGCCAAAGTCCAATGAATCGAAAAAAAATAATAAAATAAAAAAATAAAATGAATGAATGGAAGTAAAAGGAAAAGAAAAAGAAAAATATAGCAAGTCATTTTGATAAAAAAAAAAAAAGTTCCACATAAGGCAAAATAATGAAAAACATGATGAAAGAATGTCTGAACCTCATAAATTGCATCCTTTAGTGTATTCCATTCTAGTTGTTGTACTCGTTCACTCAAAAGAATTTTTCTTTCTTAAAAACTCACTTGAGCTTTTACCATTCCTTGATAAAAAACTGAACCTAATCTAACCACATTTGTGACCAATAAAGCCCTTATAATAGGTGGTTCATTGTATCTAGGCAAAGGAGATTGAGAATATGGGCAAGCATATGGTAGGGTAATGCAAAATGCATGAATTGAGAGAAACACTGAGCCTGCAACATTAATAAGTGAGAGTGAAACACTATACTGTGAGCTAGATGATTTTTTGCATTGTGTGGACTGCATGAAACCTTACTAGATTTTTGTTTCGGTTTAGTGGGACTTTGCATGAAAATAGATGATATGAGTGTGATTGTTTTGTTGAATAAATCCATGATTTTGGAAAGATTGGAAGTGCTAATTGGAGTCTAAGATTGGAATGGAAAACTTTGAGAAATTTTTTTGGATAAATCCAACCCTTTTACCTTTAATTTTCTTGAGTTCTGGTTTGCTTAAGGACAAGCAAAAGTTTAAGTTTGGGGTTGTGATGAATCCACACTTTATAGATATTTTCTTTGGTTTTTATAAAGTTTTAATAGAAAAAAATAGACTTAGAGATTGTAAATAACATTAAAATCTCATTTAGGTAAAAAAACAATAGCTTTCTTAATTTTGGTCTTATTTCCATTAATTTTTGTGAATATATTTCGCAATTTTGATCATTTGAATAATTGTGCAGGAAATTCTAAACAAACTTCATGAATTTTTGGCTCTTTGGAAAAATATGAAATGAGAGTAACTACTCTCAGATACCAGAGTAACCACTTTCAGATATCAGAGTGATCACTCCAGAAGCACCAGACCCCAAGTCCTTGCACGTAAACACTCTCAGAAATTAGAGTAATCACTCCAGAGACGCCTAGAAGGAAGTGCCCTGCGCGTGTTTACTCTCAAAAATAAGAGTAATCACTCCAGAGATGCCTAAACTCAAAGTGCCTGCGCGTGTTTACTCTTAGAAGTGAGAGTAATCACTCCAGAAAGGGAAAAATCTGAAGTTGCTGCGCGTAAACACTCTTGTTTACAGAGTGATCACTATAGGGCCATGTCAGACTTAGTATATATAGATTTTTAGAAATTAGGGTACGGATTTTTTTTCATAATTTTAGATTCTTTGCCACTTTTGGGAGCATTCTGCAGAGCTTAGGATCCTTGGGTGACAGCCAAGGGCAATCTTAGGGTTTGATTTACAATTTCCTCTTAAATTTCCTTTAATTCTTGCATTGATGTCATTGAATTCCTTTATCTTTCATCTTAATTTTGTAAGACCCACCCTCATGGAGGGCTAAACTTTCTTGTAATCCTTAGTGAGTTCATGTATTCTTGAATTTCTGGGTATGAATGTCAATATAATTCTCTTTCCTTCATGAACTTATTTTCCCCAACTCTTTGAATTGAATTAATGTTTGAATGAGGGGAACATTGCTTAATTAACCCTAATTCGTTTAAATGAAATTCGTAACTTAGTTTGCTTAATCCTAAGTTAATTTCTAAGGTAGCGTTATCTTGGGGATGAGAGATTGGAGCCCATATAAATTGCTTAATTCGTATGGGAATTTAAGGTTAATTCATGCTTTTTAAGTTACCCTAATTCAGAGGAAGAGGAAAAGTATTGAATCTTGAGAGGGATAAGGATAGAATTGCATGAACAAACTAAGGATTGCATATTTCATTGATTGGATTCATTAATTTCATCACTTGCCTTTACATTAAAATTGGAATCACACAAAACCCCCTTGTTTTAATTGCTTTCATAGTAAATGTTCACAACATGTTCAATGTGTGTTACAAACTAAAGTTTTTAGAGACAACCTAGGTTTGCACCCTAGATTACATAAATTTTTCTGCAAATTTTGATGAAGGTTAACAACAAATCTTTTTGCAAATGAGAAAATATTTCGTTCATCAGTAACGCCCCAAATTTTATAATCTAATTTGATTAATAATATAAATGTTTACGTGGACTTTCATGTGTTGTGTATTTATTATATATGTGTATATATATATATAATTATATATGTTGTAATGACGACATAGGTATATGTGGTGATGTAGACATGAGTGTCTAAATGCTTGGAATTGGACTGAAAATTTGGGTAAGTGTTTGGTATAGGGTGTTTTCGCTGTAGTGACAGGGGGCGTCATTGAAGCGAGAGATTCCTCACTGCAGCGAGAGTGTTGCGAGCAGAGGGGTATTTGAAGGGGTTAGGGTTAGAGAAATTCATTTCCCATCTTCCCTCTTCAAAATCTCTTTGAATTCTCTCGATCTAAAACCCTATTTGACCGATTAAATTGCCTCCAAAACTGTTTGTGAGCTAGATTGAAGGTAGGATTTGTGTGGGGAACGATTGAAGGTGAGTTTTAATTGTTAGGGTTTTGATTTTTGTCCCTCTTCTCTGTTTTCTAGATTCTCTTTGAGTTCTCATGGAGTTTTCCATGTGTTTAGGCACGAAATTCATGTGGAAAGTCCTTTTCATCATAGAATCGTGCGTGGGTCTTCAATTCGAGGTAAGGGGGACTCTACCCTATCTTATCGTGTTTGATTTCCATTTATTCTGTTAAATATTGCAATGCAGCTAAGATAGAGGATATGAAATGTGTGTTTTGATGGGAATTATTGTATGTTTGAATGTAATGTGATGTGTGGTGAGATAGTTGGATCATTGTGGGTGATTGGGTATTAGGAAATGCCATTTGAATGAATGAATATGGGCCTGTGTGCCGTGTCCCGTGAATGTGTATGGGTGTAAGTGTCGTGTGATGTGAATGGACGTGGGCTTAAGTGTTGTATGAAAATATGAGTATTTTGTGCAATTGAAATGTGTGTGAATAGGGCATGATAAATGTCGTTGTATTGATGCTATGAATGGTTCAGCGATACACTGGAGGTGTGGAAGATGGGGATGGTAGAAATACCTTGGGGAGGAGAGAGTGGTGGTGACACGAACAGTGAGCGTGGGTGCACCACAGGCCACACACTCTCCTCCTTACTAGACCTCTGACCACTAGCTTTACCGAGCGACTCGTGATGGCTCACGTGGTATCCGTAAGGCAGGAGTAATCGTCGACCATCCATGGTGTGAATTTGTGATCACAGCGCCACAGTGAGCGTGGCTGGGTGTGGTGAGTACACACGAGTAAAATGTTTTGGTACTGTGAGTGCATCGGTCATGAATTGAAATGAAATGCTTAAGAATGTTGCTTGTGATTGATTATACTGTGTGACTGTGTAAGAAACTATGTGAAGGGTGACTGAGGTGAGTCTCTATGTTTGTTGTGTTGGATAGTGTAGAGTACTCACCCTTACATCTATTTTTCAGATGACCAAGACAATCAGCACCAAACTCAGTGAAGGAATGGATGAGACTGCTATAAGGCTCTGATTTTATTTTAAAATTTTAATGCATTTGAATTAGTCCTGTAGCAGTTTCCTTGATCAAACTTTGTAAACACTTATTATTCGAAATATTTTGTTTAACTGCGGGTTGGAAAAACCTATTTAAAAATGAAATTTTATTATTTCTATTTTGCAAAATTAATATTTTGAAATTAAATTTAAGGTGTTACAATTTTGGTATCAGAGCAGTTCATCCAAACTGGACTGGGGTATTGGGCTAAAGCCTCCAAGCTGAGTGTTGATGTGTTTTGATTGCTTGAAATTTAAATGTTGTATTAGTCTAATGAATTCAATGTGATTTGTTGCATTGTGGTTAACTTAGCTTAGAATGGCTGGTTGAGGTATAGGTAGAGGCGCAAGAGACACCAATGATCTAATGGAGCACATGGCTCAGATTCTGGACACCTTAGTGCACAACCAAAGCAGAGAGTCGGCTGAGTACCAAGGATTGTCTGCCTTCACTAGGCACGATCCTCTAAAATTTGAGGGATGTTTCAACTAGAATGAGCTCAAAGATGGTTGGCGGATGTGGAGAAGGTCTTCAATGCAATGGGATGCCATGAAGAGCACAAGGTGAGCTACGCCACCTACTTGCTGTGTAGAGAGGTGGAAGACTGGTGGAGGTTTCCTGGTCAAACATTGCCACAAGAAGATGGCTATATCCAGTGGGAGGCCTTTAAGGCATTTTTTCTAGGGAATTACTTTCCCAGGGATCTGAAGAAGTAGAAGGTTAGAGAGTTCCTTGAGCTGAAGCAAGGTAGCATGACAGTAGGAGAGTATGCAGCAAAGTTCCAAGAGCTGATGAAGTACTGGCCTCACTACCAACATAGGGATGGAGAGGAGAACTTGTGTGCTCAGTTTGAGCACGGGGTGAGGCCAAATATCTGAGCTGCAATCAGTGTGTTTCAACTGACAGACTTGCCCACTTTAGTGAGCAAGAGCAGAATTTTTGAAGCCAACTCAAGGGATAAGACCGTGGACACTAGGGGAGCCAGTCCAGTGAGGCGTGATAAAAGACCTCCTAAAATCTCAAAGAGGCCATACTCAGGCTCGAGTAATTCTCAGTTTAGAGGGAGTTACTCACAAGAGAAGAGCAGTGGGAGTGGCTCAAGATCAGGCTCTTTCAGAAAGCTGATCAAATGCTTCAGGTGTGGAGGGCCACACATAGTGAGAGACTGCGCACAGCCACGAATAACTTGTAGCAACTGTGGGAAGTCGGGGCACATTGCCAATATGTACAGGGCTGTCAAGAGGAGTGGCAGTATGAGTACAACTCAGAGCCCTGAATCTAGAGGAAGCATAGGGCCGAGTACAGTGCCGAAGCCAAGTATCCTTAGGAGAGTCTTTGCCATGAGTAGAGCAGAGGCTTCACAATCTGAGAAGTTGATCTGAGGTAAATGTATAATTAAAGGCAGATTGCGAGATGTGTTGTTTGACTCGTGTGCTACGCACTCTTTTGTTTTTGTAGACTATGTGAAGAGTCTGGGTTTGCATGTGACTGATTTACCACGTAATGTTGTGGTGACTACCCCTATGAGTAAGCCAGTTATGACGTCGTGGGTATGTTTAGGATGTTCAATAATAGTGCATAGTAGGGAGTTTGAAGTGGACTTCATCTGTTTGCCTCTTTCTTAACTGGATGTAATTTTAGGAATGGATTGGCTTGTTGCCAACCATGTGCTGCTGGATTGCAAAGATAAGACACTGATCTTTGGTGCGTCGATGTCGAAATTTCTGAGGTTGTTAAGTCGTGGTGCATGGGAGAATGCAAAGAATGCCAAGGCTTTTATGATTATATTCTCAATGAAGGCAAAAGGCATGGTGGAGTCGGAGTATATCCCGATGGCGAAGGATTTCTTAGAAGTCTTCCCTGAAGATATTTCTGAGTTACCACCTGAGGGGGAGATAGAGTTTGCTATTGACCTCATTCTGGGAGCAAGCCCGATTTCTATGGCACCCTATAGGATGTAACCGATGGAGTTGGCGAAGGTCAAGAAACAGGTAGAGGATTTGTTGCAAAAGTGGTTTGTGAGACCAAGTGTGTCACCATGGGGAGCACCAGTGCTCTTGGTGAAGAAGAAGGATGGAAGCATGAGGATATGTGTGGATTACCGGCAACTAAACAAGGTGATGATAAAGAACAAGTATCCACACCCAAGGATTGATGATTTGATGGACCAGTTGAGAGAAGCTACGATATTTTCTAAGATTGACCTAAGGTTGGGGTACCATCAAATTAGGGTGAAGGATGAAAATGTACCTAAAATGGCGTTCAGGACGCGGTATGGTCACTACGAGTATTTGGTGATACCGTTTGGAGTGACTAATACACTTGCTGTGTTCATGGACTACATGACCCGTATCTTCCATGAGTTTTTGGATAAGTTTGTGGTGGTATTCATTGACAACATCCTGATTTATTTGAAGACTCAGGAAGAGCACGCAGAGTACTTGAAGACTGTTCTGCAAATTCTGAAGGAGAGACAATTGTATGCAAAATTCTCTAAGTGTGAATTCTAGCTATCAGAGATTTAGTTTCTGGGGCATGTAGTGTCGAAGGAGGGAATCATGGTAGACCCTGCAAAGATGGAAGTAGTAGCTGGGTGACCAAGGCCGACAAATGTGACTGAGGTGCGCAATTTTCTAGGACTAACGGGCTATTATAGAAAGTTCATAGAAGGATTTTCTAAGATAGCCTTGCCCTTAACGAAGCTGACCCACAAGGGAAAGGAATTTAAATAGACCAAAGGTTGTGAAGCTAGTTTCTTCGAGCTGAAAATAAAGTTGACTTTGGCACTTGTGTTAGTTCTATCTAACCTGAAGCAGAAGTTTGAAGTGTACTATAATGCATCCAGGCAAGGACTCGGGTGTGTTTTGATGCAAGACTGGCGAGTGGTTGCCTATGTCTCGAGACAGTTATGCCCACATGAAGTCAACTATCTAACTCGCAGCTTGGAGTTAGCTGTGGTGGTTTTTGTTCTTAAGGTATGGAGGTGTGACGCCTAAAAATAGCAGGATTTTTTTTTTCCTTTTGTACGAACATAAGCTCTCTCTTCATAGAGAGTTTTAATCACACAAATAATATTCCGTATTCCATAGACAATCATCATTTCACTTCCCAATTTCAACCACATAGTGGGATAACGACAAACATAACTCATGACATAAAGGTACCTCAAGGTATTTAAACATCAGTTTGGCAGAAATAGTAAAATGTTCAGATAGCGTCGAGAGCAACAAACATTAATCCAATCCATCAAACAGAATAGCAACATAAGTAAACCAAACGCCCTACGAGCAGTCCCACTAGGATAGAAACAAACAACAAACATCACTCATAAGGTGAATAATCCTCAATGGGAAGCAGAGCTAGAAGAAGCAGCGTCCTCAATGTCCTCTTCAATCCATCTAGCAGTGTGAGGTGGCGAATGGACTGTAGTGAAGGGCGAATAGGTGTTTGGGTAGGTAGGGAGCATGTGGGGCAGTACATCATCATTCCTCATTGAGGGTTCTGCCATATGAACATCTCTCTCAGTGGCCACAGGGGGTGGAGTAGGATCCTCAGTAGGGAATGGTACAGGTGTAGGTACTGGTCTAGAACTGGGAGTACGGGGATCAACAGACATGGGAGAAGGAGTAGCTCCAAGTGCAGGATAAGGTAGGTGAGAATCTCCTGGTGGGGTGGAGAAAACAAGCTCGATGGGGGTGTCAACCATAAAGTGGGTGGTCCATGAGTGTCCGACATCCTGTCCATGAATCACCGTGCCATTCCATGGAAGATGCTTTGCTGTGCTGCCGCATCGAACACCCAAACGTCCTCCTCAGATGGCAGGATCCATACCTTCACTCAAAAGCTGGTCATCTGTATAAGGCATATACAAAAGTACAACAACACACACAAACAGGGGTGAGTTCTCCAAACACAAACAAACATTCAATAGCCGTACCCCAAGGAAGGCGGCTTTTCACACCATCACCCAAACAACATCATTATCCAATCTCAAAACAAACATTGGTACAATATAAGTCGGTTCATACTTCTCATAGAAAATTCCTAGGTTCATCAAACTAATAATGCACATGATGCATGAATGTAGTTTCTCTCCTCGTTACCCATCCCTTGAATTTTTGTTTTAATGCATATGGTATGCATGGGGATCCCTTACTCTACTGCAAGTGACTTGCCCAGCATTTAGTGTAGAGTTACAATTTCATATTCAAGTCGTGTGGCGATCGGAGGACTCCATTCCCTGCATCACAATTGCACAGAAAAGAATTTATATCATTATTCAAAAACACCCAAACTGGTGCTGGCCCCAAACTAGGTCTCTTCGGGAATGGACCTCAACGACCCTAGGATGTGGAGTTCTTGTCGAGCTTGGCTAAGGCTTGCAAGTAGGGTCACGACCCGGCCACAGAGAGCTCTGCTGCACCATCTAGGTTGATTGTTCCCCCTTTCGCCACCCCTGTAGGTCTACTCAGGACCAAACCTCCAATACCTACAGCTATGCCTCTGTTATGCCATCAAGTTGTTCCAAAGAAATGTTATGATCCATGGAGCATGATTTTCTTTTCTCTCCCCAATGTTTTCTCAATCTTGGATCACATGGAATTCAAAGCACAGAATCAAAGTCCTCACAAGGCCTGCTCAATCATTATTCACTTTCTCATCCAGCATAAATTTGTTAAACAACAAGGTTTAGGAATTACATACAAGCTTCTAATCCCATAAATACACATCCACCATTTCTCAACACATAAATTTTAGTAATTTTGACATAACCCATTCAGATTTTCCTCATCCAATTCCATTATAATAATTTACTATATCACCATTGCTCATTTTATCATTTCCCTCGCTATTAACTATACTACTTCCTATTTAGATATAACGTGTTTCCATTTTCCTCTTTCCCTCTAGTTTTTTTCCATTTAGTTATTTTCTAATTACTTGTATTGATTCCCGATTACCTATTTAATTCAAGGTTACTTAGTTTAGTTCTAGCTCTCTTTAGGTTTATTAATATTAAGTCCTCACGCGATGGGTTTTATTAAGTAGCTAATAGTGAGATCCTTCCAAGAATGACTTTTATCAATTAACTACTATGTCCAATCCCTTAATTACCATCTCCATACCTTTAATTACTATCTTTTTAGTTTGGTTAAACTTTTTACCAAAAAGGGCTGCACTTGATTTTCCCCTTTTATTCCTTATATAATGCAATGAACATGATGCATGATTCATCTTAATACTCACGGATCCAGGTGCAAACAGCAAACACACCCTATCATTATACAATCCTTATCACCCATATTTCATCAAAATTAACACAATTTCAAGTACAACTTTTAGGATTCCTTATCATCAAAATCGAGAGTGAATAGTTCTCACTTTCTTGTCCACCACAAGTTCCCAAAGCACCACATGCATGAAACTTTTTAAACCAAGTGGAAACATACATCACAATCAATTCAATCATCCATCATCCAAACTAGCAAGCAACCATTTTCATGCAAACCACACAAAGTCTAGCACGGTTTTCAAATTCTAAAGTGTAGTTCAATATGCTAGTCTTTTTCATGAAAGGTCAAATCTATCCAGCCTTTCCACTAGATTTCTGTCAAGTTAAAAATAGGTAACACAAAGGAAATTAACATGCAATGACATAGTTTCATCGTCCAAGTGCAGGGGCAACTTTTCCAAGTGACATTCAAACTTCCAAGGGAAAACTGAAACACTTAGGGGCTGAAATCAACATGCAATGGCCTCCATTTCACATGCAATCTAAGGTTTATTGATTGCAAGAGTAGATCGACATTTTAAATAAAGAATCTAGCCAAACAAAAGTGAAACTGAGGCATGCACAAAGGGATCCAAAGCATTTCATGGTTAAAATTCAACATGCAAGTGAAAGGATATGTTAATCAAGTTCACGGTTCATGGTTTCAAGGAAGAAATATCATTAATTCAAGGATTGCACCAAAGGAACATAAAAATTGAGACATGCACAAGGGAAAATCCACATCCACACATCAAAGTTTCAAGCTTTTAAGGAACAAAGTTGATTAAAAGTGGAATCAAACTCTTTAGAATAACCGAGGCATGCAAACAAGGAAATCCACACAATTTTTGGATAAAATTTAACATGCAAGTTCAGATTTGAAGTTCTTCAAACAGGCAGTCCAATATACACTATTTTTCAAAGGGAAAATAAGCAAAAACAGCCAAGAAAGGGACATGCAAACACATCTATGGTGAGAACTCCCCCTTGCCTTGAATGTGTCAAAAATTTGTGAGCAAAATGAGTTAATCTTGGCTGGTTCTTCAAAAGAAAGGTGCTGGACCGAGAGGATGAGTTTCAAACTTCAATCTTTCTCCTCTTGGCTAGGTTGTCTTCCTCAGTTCTTTGAAGAGAAAAGGGGAAAAGCTTCAAAATGGTTAAGATCAAGTGAAAAAGGAAGTTTTAGGAGCTTTTGGTGTTAGGCCTCCATGGTTCTTCAAATCAAAGAAGGAAAAAGGATGAGAAAGCTTACCTCCTTAAAGGAATGCTCACGGTTTTGAAGAATCAAGCAAGAGAATGTAAGGGTGAAAGCTTAGAGCTCCTTGGCTTGTCTTGAAAGGTTGAGAAGATGAGAAATTTTGAAGGGATTTAGGGAGAGAGGGTCTCGGTTTCTTTGAAGAAAATGGAGAGAATAGGAACTTGAAAGAATTTTGAGAGAAAGAGTGGGAGGCTCACGGTTTTTAGAGTGAAAAAAGAGAGGAAATAAGGTAGCTTGACCTATTTATATGAAGTGTTCAATTTTTTTTTTCCAAATGTAACTTAATGCTCACAGTTTGGGCTTGTGGGACAAGATTCAAATTCCAAAACTGCACAAAATTGATTTGAAGCAATTTGGAAGTGAAATTTGGTGAAAAACTTAAGTAACAAGGGTGCCACGGTTTTTGTGCATGAATAGTGAATTCGTTTTGC